TCTACCCCTCCCCTGTCGTTATGCCCCCGACGGTTCTGTTACTATGTCCTGCCGCACCCGCAGGAAAAACGGTCTATGCTGCCGTGCTGAGGAAGAACGCCGTATGAGCCCTCAGACGTTGCCGAATTTCCTTCGATAAAAACCGAATTTACCGGAAGAATTGTAAATATTTTCCCCCTTAATTTTTCAGACAATTTTCTACGCAATTTAATCCAAATTATTTGAAAATTTCAAGGAAAAATATGCTCAAATTGCGTCAACAATACACGATTTATCTAGGGAAATTTGGCAACTCTTGAATGTTCATACGGAGTTCTTACTTAGCACACTGGACAAAAAAACACATTGGATTCAGAGTCCCGACTCTTGAAAACATTGACAAGAAAAAATACTCTTGATTCAACCGGATTTTTGCTTGAATCAAAACGAAATCCGCTTAAATTAAGAGGCTTGGTTCTTGATTTAAGCTAGATTCTGATTGAATCAAGAGTACTTTTTCTTGTCGATGTTTTTTAAGAGTCTGGACTCTAGATCCAATGTGTTTTTTTATTTTCCAGTGCACGGCAATATGCACGTCTAGAGAGTGCCAGATTTTCTTAGGGAAACTGCGATTTTTTTTTTAAACGCTTAAATTTTTCCCCTTCAAATTTTGTGTCAATTTTTTAAAAAATTCAGTCGAGGCTACCTNAAAATTTCAAGGAAAAATATGGTCAAATTGCGTCAAAAATACACGTTTTATTTAGGGAAATTTGGCTACTCTCGAATGTTCATACGGAGTTCTTACTTAGCACGGCAGTATGCACGTCTGGAGAGTGCCAGATTTTCTCAGGGAAAATACGATTTTTTTTTAAACCCTTGAATTTATTCCCTTCAAATCGTGTGTAAATTTTTTAAAAAAATCAGTCGAGGCTATCTCACAATTTCCAAGAATTATATCATGAACTTGTCTCGAAAATACAAATTTTACCGGTTGAAATTTAGCAACGTCGGGTTTCTCGTACGCCCTCTACCATAGAACCGCAGTATGTCGTTCCCTGCATTATTCCTATGTCATAAAATCTGTTTTACGATGGGTCTTCTCGGAGACAACATATTCCAGAGACCCCGCACTCTTAATTCGCATTTCCCGAGCGAAGCAGCGTAACTCCATTCCAAGGTTGCCAAACTGACTCGAAATATTCAATTTGTCTCAAGAAAGTGCTCGTGCAATTTTTGTCCAATTTTTGTCTAATTTTCGCATGAGATGAGAAGAAAAATCCGTGGAATTTTCAGTAAGAAATTCCCAAGATTCTCCTTGTAAATATGCATAATGCGATGAGAAATTTGGCAACGTCGGAATGGAGTTACGTTCTTTCGTAAGGGAAACGACGAATTCAAGCCATGTAATCGGGTGAGGCAGAAGTTAAGTTCGGAGGTCATCATTACTCTTTTGTTGAGTGATGATTGAGATGAACTTATTTCCACTTACTGAACATTTTATTCATGTCATGATTACTGATCAATGATGAATTGAGCAGCTTGCTGAGCAAGTTTGTCAAATTCGGTCCCGTTGGCCAAACAGATGTTATCTTCATTCATAATTAGGTGAAGAAAATGGAAGGACATGAAGAATATTCCAAAATGGGATCACCGAATACGACGAACGACTGAAGATAGCTATTGCAAGTTTTGTTGGGGGATTATATCGTTATGAAGCAGGTGTAATGGTTGCTGCCAAATTTTATATTGTATTTAAAAATAATCGCAATTTTACTGTTCCGATGTTTTATCTGTTCCAGGTGGTGCTGCTGAAAGGGCAGGTCTACATAGTGGAGATAAAATTATTAAGGTAAGATTTTCGACTTTACATCACTATACGTCTTCAACACCAATTTTCAAGAAAACAGTAATATAACAGAGCAATTACGCGTATTTCCCTGTTATCGAAACAGTTTTCACCATTAGAAATGAAGCCAGTCAAAGTAGGAGTTACCACAATATAAAATGGACTTCACTCTGCATTGAGGAACGTTTTTTTCTTGCTCATCTATCAAAGAACTTATCTGCGTCGAGAGGCTTATGACGCATGCGTTGTTTCTGACATAAGGCAGTAATAGTGGTTTCTTTTCGCAAAATTCAGTCCAAATCAAGCACCAAATCGAGTTACGATAATGCTCTAAATGCATCGGTTGCGCCTTAATGTACAAATGCTCCACCTAAATGCGATTGAGAGCGTTCGTGTTACATCCCGTCAAATGGAGATGTTGCTTGTGTGAGGAATTTGCGATTTGGATGTTGATTCTCATGTAAAAGTTCGCAAGAAACACGATTGTCCCACTGGTTTTCTCTGAAATTAACTCCCAAGCTCAAAAAAAGCTCTCAAGTTGAGGCCGAAATGGAGGGGATATCCCACGCTATCCTAAGAGTCCACCTCTACGTCAAGCAAGACAAACTCTCCATGCAAAGATAGGGAGCAAATACATTCGCAAGGTTGCAGTGCTTTCAGTTGTGGAGCCCCCAAATAAAGTGGCAGCCCTGCCAATGTATTTGCTCCCTATCTTCGCATGGAGAGTTTTTCTTGATGTAGAGGTGGACTCTCAGGATAGCGAGGGATATCCCCTCCATTTTGGCCTTAACTTGATAGCTTTATTTGAGCTTGGGAGTTAATTTCAGAGAAAACAAGTGGCACTATCGTATTTCTCGCGAACTTGTACATAAAAATCAGTTGTCAAATCGCAAATTCCTCACACATGCAACATCTCCCTTGTCGAGCAGTCCCACGGTCTTTTTTGAAAATGCATGCAAACTTCCCGCTGCTCCGTTCTGTAATATACGAGTCGTAAAGGCTCCTCTTAAAATCGTCTACTCTTCGTTGACGTCCGTTTTTATTTTGTTTTTTCAGGTGAACGGTGTCAACGTGACGCACTCAACGCACACAGAGGTGGTGGACCTAATCAAAGGTGAGTCGCAAGTCCCGATCCCATTCACTCATTCATTCACTATTTCGATCTCCCGCCTCGCAGTCTAAGACCCCGCGCCGGAAAAACAACAGGCACCCCGTTCCAAACGCATGGCGCTTACGTCGTTTTGCACAGGAACGACTCCGCTCACACCGGCAACTTTCACCTTCATGCGAACCGCGCCGACACGGTGGGACGAGTCCGTGCTCCGTGGAAGACGGTAGCGATTTTGCAAGTTGGCAACACTGTTTTTCTTCCACTTAAATCCATTAAAAATATCGATTTTAGGTGAGGCTTGCTCCCTCGCCAAGAATCGATTATTTTACGTACATTTAAATAGAGGGAAAACATCGTTACCAACTTGCAAAATTGCCACTGTTATACTGTCATGCCGAGGCTCAGTTCTGTCAAAATCTTCGGATTTATCATATCCTGATTAAAATTTCACAAGTATTTGAGCAGGGTGTCCAGCACCAGGAAAAACCGGGAAATATCAGGAATTTTGGCCGATCTGGAAAAAATCAGGAAAATCGGAAAATTCGGACGTTTTATCAGGAATTTTTCTTACGTGAATCTCCTCAGCGGAGAAGTCTTACTGTTTTTTGCCTACCGTGCCAGGAGTCGTCGCGCCGTCTTTGTTTCCGGAGGAAAATCAGGAGTTTCTAAAATTAAAAATCAGGAAAGTATCAGGATTTTTCAAAATTAAAATATACTAGACACTCTGTTGAGTATTTGTTAAATTTTAACCCGAGATTAGACTTCTCGTTCCAATATGTTATCCCGGGACTGAGAATATCACGTGCGCCTTATAATGTATCATGCCCTCTCTCCCCCTGTCTCCTCCCCTCTCCCATATCCCACCCCCAGCCGCAAAAAAAAACTGCACCTCTTCATGCATGATCCATGTGAAAATTTGTACATTGCCACTTTGAGGAGCATAAAAGCTAAAAATCAGTGCCAAAGGCCCTGGAAAGCTCTCTTTAAAACTTGCAATACTGGCAAATTGGCGCCGGCTGAGGGCGGTGCTAGTAAGTCTAGCGATGCGATGAGACTTTGCCAAACCGTATGGGAATCCCTGCTCGCCGCCGGGAGCCACACACAAATAATTTTGAATTTAGTTTTTTTACCATGCGGCTTGGCGTCGCTGCGCGGTGATGGACCCGCGGTGTCGCGTCGCGATGCTCCTGTTGTCTACGCTTGCCGATCGTCGATGAGTAACCCCCCTCCCTCCGTCCCCCCATCAACGCATTGGTGGACCTCGTACTCAATCCCCAGGGGGATACTTGCCCCCCGCAGTAATGTTGCCAAGTCGTCTCTTGTGTGTTTCATCTCAGCAGCGTTGTGATTTTAATGAACTTCTCGAATGTGGGACAGGAAATTCCTGAATTTGTTGTCTCCTGGACGAGGGAACGCAACCTCGTTCCCCGGTCACAAAATTGACTCAAACAATTTAATTTTTACAGGAATGTATCCGCGCAATTTTTGTCCAAAATTTTTCTAATTTTTGCATGAGATTCGTAAAAAAATGGATAAAATTTTCAGTCGGAAATGCGCAAGATTTTCCCGGTGAAAATGCAGTTTGTGCGTGGAAATTTGACAGCATGGAAATGTAGTTAAGTTCTTTCGTGAGGGAAACTACGAATTATGATGCAAGTTCCCGACCTTCATTGGCTTAAAAATTAACTTTATTGTTCGCAACTTATTCTCCAGTCGAGTTTTCGGCAGCTGGGTTAGGTCTAGTTTTTGACCACCGCCAATCTTTGTTGTGACGAAACGGTATTCTCTTCAGCTTCGAAGCGAGATTCAAGTAGGGCGGCTTTCAAATAGGGACCACGTCCAAAATTTTAGACCCACGTCTTCAAGTGGCTTGGAACGCCTTCATTTTTTGTGATACTCCACGCTTCGTCAGGGAGTTGGTTTAGTTGCATGTCCGATTAGAACCCAACTAAGGTCGGGGTCTCATTGCTCGCTCTTTCACTTGTGCCTGTTATTACCATTTTTTTACGGAAGGAAAAGTGTGTGCTCGTATTAAAGGCAGAAAAATCGGCGCTCTAATCTTGCTCCTCTATTTGTGCATTTTATGCCTTTCTATGTAAACCTGCGCCATCCGCAAGTTTTTGCGATGGACGGATACCAATGTGGAATCGGCAACACTCGCGGCGGGCAAGCACCTCGGCGTTCTGGACGCGGTGTTTAAATGGTCGCGCGGCGATTGCCTCACAGTGGACCGAATTTATGTGAGAGGTCAGACATTATTTTTTTCACCAAAACTGCAAATTTCGTTGTTTATTTCGTCAAATTTTAAATTTTAAGGGAGGATCAAGGGGTGTTTCCCAAGAACATTTTACGACAAAACCAATGAGACCCTTCTTAAGACATTAAAATTTATAAAGTTATGCATGAGCTTTTAAAGTTTTCAAATTTTGTCCGACCTCTCCCATTGGCTCGGTCCACCGTGCGCCAGTCGAATGCTCCGTCCGACGTTGGACCAATTTATGACTCGCGATCCGCGAAATTTCATTGTTTTCCCAACACTCGTCGTGTGAGGTTTAGGTGTCAGGCTGTCGCTCCGCCACACACTGTCCCACAAGCCTCGTGACACCGTCTCGTAAAAGGCTGCATTCATGGTCATCGAATAAACAGCTCTTCTTCGCAAGCATGGCCCCACGTGATTTACACTGTGATGAACGAGCAAGGAAAACAATCGATGTTTGTCGAATTTTTCAAATAATTGTCTTCGCGATGTGATCTAGTGTTTCTAAAAATTCTGGATAGAAATATTTCTAATTTTTTTACATACCTACATAAAAGCCGCTTTCAAAATGCTCCTGGCGCTTTACAACACGTAGCTCACGGGGAAAAAAACACATTGGATCTAGAGTCCAGACTATTAAAAACATCGACAAGAAAAAGTACTCTTGATTCAATCAGTGTCTAGCTTAAATCAAGAATCAAGCCTCTTAATTTAAGCGGATTTCGTTTTGATTCAAGCAAAAATCCGATTGAATCAAGAGTATTTTTTCTTGTCAATGTTTTCAAGAATCTGGACTCTAGATCCAATGTGTTTTTTTTTCTAGTGCTACTACAGTGCCCCACCCTCGCATTCCCAAGTAAAATCGCCGTATCCCATTCAAATTTTTTTCAATTTTTTGTGACAAACTGCTGATCCAGGTTAAACATGTGATCATAGCCTCAAAAGTCAATTGAGAAAACTAAGGGAACGGATTTTTCGTAATAGATCTTTTATTCGTTTGAGTATGAAATGGCAACGAAAAGTGAAATTTGTAGGAATTTTCTCATTTTCAGCTTTTCCAACTAAAATCCTAAAATTTTTGTTCGGGGTTATCTTGGAAAAAATTGAATTGCTGATTTAACAATTCAATTGCTAAAAAAAAGTGACCGCAATTTTTCAATGTAGATTTTACAACAAAAAAATGCTACTTCAACCACCCTCGCGGTTAAATTAGCTTACAATAGTGGTTATAATAGTGGTTCTGTTGTAAAATCTACATTGAAACGTTGCAGTCTTTTTTTTTTTAGCAATTGAATTGTTGAATCAGCAATTTAATTTTTTCCGTGTAGTGTTTCGAACCGAACGATACATCGCACCACTATCGAATACGATCCATTATTTACATTTCCGCCGTCCTGAGACCGGTTCGAAAGAGCGCACAATATCGATATTGCTATGCTGCCGTGCTGAGGAAGAACGCCGTATGAACCTTCAGGCGTTGCCAAATTTCCTTTGATGAAACACGAATTTCCTGGTAAACTTGTGAAAATTTTCTTTCTAAATTATTCATAGGGTGTCTAGAAGTCCGGAAAGCCCGGATATAGCACTGATTTTTTAAGGGCCGCCCGGAAGTACTAAAAAAGTGCGGAATTTTGCGTGAAGGTCCAAGATTTTTGTCATTTTTGTCGCAATTCAAACGAGAAATTCAAATTTTTGAAAATTTTCGAATTTCCTTAATTGGAGGTACTGAATAAGTACTGAATTTCTCCTATGAGGAAGCACTGAATTTGTTGGAAAAGTACTGTAAAAGTACTATCTTTTGGCCAGCCTGTTTTACACTGAGAAAAAACTATGGTTTATAAACCTATTAGAGGTAAATATGGAACACCTATAATAGTCGTAAATAAAATAATGATTCTCGGTCTGTGAACCATACTAAGGTCTCTATACCTAATTAAGGTACCCCGTACCATAACTAAGGTATATGTGCTATTATTATATGTAGAGGTACTACTATTAGTGGTGTTCCATATTTACCTCTAATAGGTTTATAAGCCATAGTTTTTCTCAGTGTAGTAGACACCCTGAATTAATGTTCCGCAAAAATCAACATTTGATCAAAGAAAATTTGGCAACTCTTAAATGTTCATACGGCGTTCTTTCTTAGCTAGTACGGTGGGAGACCCAGCAGGAGCAAACTCAGCAAGCTGCACCAGCTGAAATGAAGGGGATTAAAGTCTATCGTCGGCGTATGTGTCCGCGATGTGAATATGAAAGTGCGCGAGTATTCATCATTTTTTCATAAGGTCACTCACTTATTCCCCGAGCAGCGCGATTCTCCAAACTGGTGTGCAGCAGTGACTGCCTCCGCGCAGTTCCTACGGCAGAGACGCATCATGGGCTATTATCTGTCCGCGCTGTCAGCAGTCACTCAAACCGGTCGAAGAAATGTGAAAAATTGCTAATCTTGCTCTTACGCAGAGGAATACATGCGGTACCGCTTCGTTGCGTCGCGCACCTCCGTAATTTGACGAAGCTACTTCAATTACTTTGACCATCCATTTGACTTTGCGACCAGCTTGGTGAACTTCCTCAAAGCCTGCAGGCTGCTAAGGGGATCAAAAGTGACTAGTATCAGGAAAGTGAGAATTTCGCAGTTTTCCGGACGAAGGAACGGAACTCCATTCCAAGGTTGCAAAATTGATAAAAGCCAATTCAATTTCTTTCAATAATTTACAGCCCTGGATAGACGACCAAATTCCGAACC